TTGTAGAGGTACTTGTAGTTTATTTGCATACTGTAAAATACTTTATTTTAGCTGGAATTAATTTTGGCTGAAAAGAATTTTTGGGTGTTTTGTATGGAATTTATTTTCACTGCTTTTTGATGAACTGAATGTAAAGTATAGGAGGAAAAGCTAGATTTTTTTTCACTTTCGGTGAAAATAGTGAAAATAAAGTACATGTACATTTATAATGTATCATGTAAATTAAGTTTATTTTGGAAAATTCAGTCTTTGACGGCCAAGGTAACATTTGTAGCCGCTTCTGGAGTATTTTGTCTATGTTGACGTCAACCATTTTGATTGATAAGTTTATTTGCCATATAATAATACAATAACTGAAGCTAATTTTTATCGAAATTCAATTAATAATCATATTCATGACCATAATCATATTATAATCATATGATTATAATCATATGATTATAATCATAATCATATTAATAATAATATATGGTTAAGAATTAAAAAAAAGCGAAGGTGAGCTAGTCAAGTTTACTTTCCTGTTAGTATGTAAAGAAATATAATGGCATCATGTGACTGCCAGTATGGGCAATAAACAAAATGACAGTGCTTGAATTTCACAGGGATATTGATGCCCATTGATATTTACTGTAATTATACATGTATTATTTTTATAATGTAAGTCAATCTTGAAAATGGTGCCCACTCAACTCAAAGTTTGTAATAAATATCAGACACAGTAAATTGAACGATGTATGATTTATTTCTGTACAGGTTGTACGTTACAAACCAGTATACAGAACGGCCGCAGGTTTCAGAAAATGTAATTGCAGACAGGAAATGCAAACTATTCAATTAGGACCTGGTAGATTTCAAATGACACCGAGAGACGTGTGCGATGAGTGCCCAAATATGAAGTAAGTAACATGAGAAGTAAGTGCTTGTATGAATGTTGTATAGTGATCGTACATGTATATGCAGAGGATGATGCAATTCTGTACTGCCCGAGTTTATACTTTTCAGTATTCTCATGATGACACTATCATTATTTACATAAATTTTTTTTTGTAGTTGTAATTTAATATAACAGTCCTAAATGTCAACAAGTTTGATTTTAGCTCAAACTCAATAATGCTAGACAATTTCATATTCAAATATATTTTTTCTCACAGATTAGTCACAGAAGAAAAATTACTGGAGATAGAAATAGAACCAGGAATGAGAGACGGTCATGTGTACCCATTTTTATCAGAAGGTGAGTAACACACACTGTTCAGTTGTGCTGTGTTGTTAACTATTTAAATGTCATTTTCTCCCAACCTTTAGCATTTATATTTCTGTATTTTTTTTTAATTTTTGAGCAAATGGATAAAAATAGTTTTTGAAAAAATTTGTAAATAAAACTTGTGCATGTTTATTTTGTAAAAGGTGTTGTGTTCAACAGGTTAGCATTTTTTATTCTGTCAGTGATTTTACAGCTAAGTAAGGCACTTTTGATTTGCCAAAGTCCATCAAACTTTTATAATCAAGTTTTCCCTGTCTGTGTATCCCTGACGTACGTTCACACCTCTGTATAAAATCTGAATTTGATACATAATGCACCAATAATGTATGGCCCAAAACTGTCGCGAAACTGCAGCTCATCCAATGCTAAGAAACTTTACTTTGAGCCTTCCCGCCAACGACGAGTTCATTAATACATGCCGTTACTCAACAATCGGGATTTGTTTTGTAAATTGCGCTATGTCAGGTGGACTCCGATGGTTATAACAATTTGAATGCATATGCAACATATAAACTATTAATGTATGGTAACCAACGTGTGCCGTTTTGAAAACAGCGTTTTATCCGCATCTAGCAAGATAATGGAATGATCCTAATTGTGGGCATCCCAATATAATGGCACTACCAAGTCTAGATTGGAAAAGACCAAAGTGTTTTACAAAGTTCCAAGATATATTGCTAACTGACTGTCTGAATAATTCTCAGAACAGCTGTAAACTGCACTCATTTTAACAATGATCTCTTATGTTTCAGGTGAGCCGCACATAGATGGTGAACCAGGTGATCTAAGGTTTATTATTAAACAAGCAAAGTAAGTTATCATCTTTTATATCAAACCCCAATTCTAGCTGCTAATATACAGGACCTAAAACCATATTACCATCATTAATCAGTTTATGGTCAAAAGTAATTTAGAAAACAGTCGATGACTGTTTTTTATTTTTGTGTTTTAGCATTAAAAATAAGATGTATATTTGGACAGACAGTTGCTTTACAGTTTTGTTCGAACACCTTTATTTCCATTTTTCTTACTTGAAAATCTACATTACTGATACAGTCGCACTGATGAGATCCCTGATTACCTGCTTATTTTACTGTTTAAATATCCCCCATTTTCTGTAATTTACAACTATAAGTAACAACATTGATCAAATTGATGATGATTTTTAGATAGAATTCATTGTTGAGTTTTTCCCGAAAACATAGTCAAATTTGAGGCTTGAGAAAAAAGTAATAAGGTCAAATGCTGAAAGATTGCTAGAAGAAATTGTGAAGCTGAACAGCCTGAATCTTATTAGTGCATAAAAATGATGGTTAGGTTTTCATTCATATTTGTATACAGATCTACTTGTATAGATCTAAAAAATTGCTCCACCATTTTAGCAAATTTGTTCACACTTGAATCTTCCCTATATGTTTGTATCGCCAAACCATGATCTCACAGTCATGTGACCTGCCCATAATGCTTATGTTCTCTGTTAGAAGAGAATCTAGAATAAGTTTGAACATTTTTTTTTTCAGACATCCAGTTTTTGAGCGAAAAAATGATGATTTATACACCAATGTTACAATTAACTTACAAGATGCTTTAGTTGGGTTTGAAATGGACATTACACATTTAGATGGCCACAAGGTATGGATTATCTCCACCTTTTCACAACCAGTTCTCTCTTTTCATCACAAATTCACAAAATAGTTTCAGTTATAGTTTACATTTTACTTAAAAAGATTGGGACAAAAAAAGCCCAATTTTTTGAGTAAAAACTGAAAATTGACTCAAACTTTGTATGTTGGCTCCAAAATTAGGCTTCATTTCCAGAAATAATGAAGAATATATAAAAAAAAAAGTGCAGAATAATTTGACAGAGAAAGTCTGGTGGTGAAAAGGTTAACTTGATGAAATAAATGTTGAATATTATGAAGTTATCACCTGATATCACTTGTTCGAAGAACTGGTTGATACAAGTGACATTATGAGCTATTATTACATATGTACTGCAGTTTATTTTGATTCGTCCCTGAAATCAAAATCGGTATTTCCACAACCCATATGCAAATGAGGTCTGAGAGCAAACAAAGTAGTCCCTTCAGGAGTACAGTTTTTCGGAATAAACAAGATTTAGAAGTACGATATTTTCCCCTTGGGTACATGAATATACTTGCCGAGTGAAATGAAATTTGAACAACAGTAATGGTACTTTTAGGCAGTCACTTATTTTGGCCCAAACTAATTTGCATATCACCCATGCAATAATGTTTTCGGTATTTTCACGGTCGATATGCAAATGACATGGTATTTTCATTGGCTACCGAACTATTTTTATTTTGTAAACACATTTTCGTCTGCTATTTTTATCCAGTTCAAATCGTTCAACAACATTTTTGGCATGTCAGGTGTACATCACATGGAATACTACGATTGGGAGAACTTAATGTATGTTGACCACCTGGAAACTGAGTTTTATAAACCTTGAAGGGCTCTCAGAAGATCCACCAGCAGTAAAATCAGCGATTACTATCATGCAGCCGCAACCATCAGCATCG